CAGCTTCACACACAAGGTTAATATGGGGCGGGTGGGAGGAGCAAGTGGCCACTGAGGGCAGAGTTTGCACTTTGACTTCACAGGACGGAACCTACCCGGATCTGTTAAGACTTCTTTTGCAGCCGCAATGTCAATGAATTTCTTCTCTGCCTCTTTCTTCTCGTCTTCAGACTGAAAATTGTCGGGGTGCCACTGCTGAGCCAGCTTCCGGTATGCTTTGATGATTTCCTGCTTGTTTGCGCTCCTAGCCGTGGGAAGAGGTGACCAGGTTAGCAAAAGTGCAAACAGATTTTGGTTTTGAACTTCTCAGAGAAACAAGAATCAACAAACTTAAGGGAGGAAACTGAAGGCACCATGGCTGGCAGTTCAGATTCTGTTACTGAGTCACTGTCAGAAAGGCAGATGAAACTGAGGAGGCCTATGTGGCCTTTGACATGCTTAAGATAATGACCTCCACAATCTCTCAGCATTCATACTGGCTGGATTGTCTGGGATCTGGAAATCTCAAACACCTCAGGGTCAACATTGCTCCTTCTTGTTTTTAATACGGGGTTCGCCTGTTTGGGCACAAAGCAAAGTGTGCTGCTTATATCCTACTCCAAAGCACTTAAAAGACTCTCTGGATGGTTGACAGTTTAATTATCTAGGCTACACATTGCCCCCACAATGAGCAATCTGAATCCTCAATTCACTGACCTCAAAAGGATGGTAGGCTGAGTGAACCTCGAGCTGGCTACCTGGGATTGAACCCAAGTCATGAGCAGAGTTTTGGCTGCAGTACTGCAGTTTAGCCCCTGTGCTACAGGGCTCCACAAGCTAGCTCATGTGTCTCTATGATTTTCACAAGCCATGAACCAAAACAAGTGTTTAGAGAGACGTGGGCACCCTCAGTCTCCCGGCTTCATTTTGGACTGTGAAAGTCTTATTAAAATTACTTACGCAGGATGACAGATTCCAGAATTATTCAACATACCTCCGGATTCCGAGGATTTTGTAATAGTCTCTCTTCTTGAACTGCTTCAGCAGTTTCTGTGCCCTCTCGAGACCTTCTTTTATTTCCTCATTTTCACCGTCAAACTCTCTGGCTTCTTGGTAATCCTCAACAGCTACAAACAGGACAAAAATTGGCTTTACAAGAAGCAAAATGCTATCGTTTTAATTCTGCAATCTGTTTTACACAGAGTATTTGACAGAACTTCCTAGTGGTATGAACTGAGGGGATGGGGTGGAATCCACATTCCTCTCTTTTTAATCCACAGGCAACGTTATTGTCATCTTCAGGGCAAGAGAGTATCAGAAATGGCAACATTCAGGCAGTCACATAGTGATTGTTTCTGTGCAGAGAAGCCCATAATAAGCAGTGAGGCTAGAATTTTCTCATTCTTAGAAGGAGGCATCAACCCACTACAGATCACCTCCTGTCAGGTTATCTTCTTCCAAGAATGCTCTGCTACTTTACCTGTAGGTGCAAAGATCAAGTATTCCATATACCCACCTCTGCACAGATGATTCATAGACCAGAAAATTACCTTTTTTTTTCATCCACGTTGCACCGGCATGAATGATGCCACTATTTCAGCCTGGCATGTGCCTTTGTGACCAGGAAGAGGTGCACACAGGCCACGATTTATACCACAAACAGCACTCAGGTGTGATTATTGGCGGGAATCCGATCTTACGAAACATGGCACCCGACCGCCCTTACGGTCCAACCCTTTCTACCTTTCTCAAACTCCTCATTCAGGATGAAGGCTTCGGCCCTGTCGCGCAGGATGAAGACATTCCTGGGGTCCAGCCGGTGGGCTTCTGTACAGATGTCGATGGCTTCAAGAGGCTGCTTGTTCTGGGACAGGAGAGAGCAGCAAAAAAACTGCACTGGAGTGGCTGGCCTTTCCCCAGAAAACTCACTGCTGCCTGGCATGTTCTGTACGGCCATCTGTTCCACTCCACTGGATCCTATCCTGCTGGAGGCTAATTTACTAGAAAGTGGAAGAGGTACCTCTGGCCGACAGGTCAGAGGTGAACCTATAGGGCATCCCAGTCCAGTCCAGTCCATTCCTTCTGCTGCTGCCCCCAAACTACAGTTAGGTTCCTAAAAAACCGATTTTAGCTGTGCTGGTGGAGGCTTCTCAAAATACCAAATTTTGTATCTGTATGCGTTTGGTTGGAATGAAGGATGTCCCTGGAACCAAGGATCATTCCCCACCCCAGTATGAGAAAAACAATCCTTCTCTTTTTCTTTAGGTAAGCTTCATTTCCACAGGCAGGGATGAAAAGCCTGAAGAAGTCAAACAACATGACCAAGGACATGCAAGAAGCCAATGGCAGAGCAGGAACGTAAATGCAGGTCCCTCCATGGCCGGTGTTATTTCTGTTTGATCGAGGCCATCCAAATTCACCCAATTTCGACATGCCAGATGAGATCAATGAAACCAAGTCTTACGACTTCTATGTTCATTTTGCTGGAGTTCATCCTGAGTGTCCAGCTGCCCAGATCCAATTACACATTCCCATCCTTTCAAAGCCAGCTTTGTTTTGCTTCTACTGATGTCCTCAGACACCAAAAGTTAGCTATTAAAATGGGATGGGGAGCCGCTCTCATCCTTGTATTAGGCTAGCGGGGACTCATGGGAACCGGGGTCCAGAAACAACCGGAAGACTCTGCGTTGTCCTCTTCCGAGTGGGATAATTCTGACTCACCTTGGATAGACAATGGCAGATGCGCCCTTTGGCCTTAGTGGTGTAGATCTCTACGTTGGGCTCTGTTTTCATGGCTGCTTTATACTTCTCAATGGCCTCTTCATACCTGTTACCAGACAAAAGAGGCACAAGGTAACGGCACTTGAAAGCGAGTAAGGGCAGCGTCATCAAGGGGCTGTATTATGCTACTGTCAAGAAGGAGGGAATGCAAACTGGTTTTCACTGATTAAGCAATACAAGAAAGGTGTATTTTTATTCTGGATTCACTGTACCCCAGTGCAATAGGGGAGATGAAGACCTGTGGTGCTCAGGGTTGTGTATAGGTAAAGGTAAAGGTTCCCCTTGACATTTAGTCATGTCCGACTCTAGGGCCTGGTGCTCATCCCCGTTTCCAAGCCATAGAGCCAGCATTCCCCTTGACATTTAGTCCTCCAGCCTCTAGGGGCCAGTACTCATCCCTGTTTCCAAGCCGCAGACCCCTTGACAGTTAGTCCTCCAGCATCTAGGGGGCAGTGCTCATCCCCGTTTCCAAGCCGTAGAGCCAGCGTTTGTCCATAGACAGTTTCCGTGGTCACGTGGCCAACCGGACTAGACATGGACCACCATGACCTTCCCACCAAGGTGGTACCTATTTATCGACTCACATTTTTTTACATGCTTTCGAACTGCTAGGTTGGCAGCAGCCGGGACAAGGGACGGGAGCTCCCTCCGCCATGCAGATTGATCTTACGACTGCTGGTCTTTCAACCTAAATCAACGGGAGCTCACTCTTGTCACGTGGATTCGATCTTACAACTGCTGTCTTCCGACCTTGCACCACAGAGGCTTCTGCGGTTTAACCCGCAGCGCCACCACGTCCCGTCAACAATAAAACTGCTCCTTAAATTTCTTACCCTATCAGGAACAACTTGACAGCACTGAACCCAGAACTGCATTCATGTCAATCATTTTAATCATACATTCATGGATGCTACAGAATTCAGCTGTTTTTTTTCCACTTGTGTGTGTCACGGGTGGAGCGTTCTTGATGTAAGCCACCAACTTCATCCTGGCATGGGTGCACAGAGCTGATGCTGAACAAGGCAAGACTGGAAGAGAAGGGAATCTGTTACCTCTGAGCTTTGACGTGCTCCTCAGCCGACTCCAGCTGCTTGGTGAGCTTCTTCACTTGCTTGTAGTGGGAGAAACAGTCCTTGTCATCCTGGTCCAGCTTCAGACACTCACGCACTTGGCTGCGGAGAAAAGAATCATGCATCTCTTGGGGTGGGACCCAAAACAAGATGCCACATACACAGGTATCTATTGCGCAAAACAGGGACAGATGCTGGAAGAAAAAGACCCACCCAAAAGCAAAGTATGCTCTTAAGGTGTTGGAATCAAACCCAGGTCGTGAGCAGAGTCTTGACTACAGCGCTGCAGTTTAACCACTGCGCCATGAGGCTCCTCCCAAGGGCAAGCCCTAAATTTTCAAGTTTCCAAATCCAGATGCTGTCTCCCCACAAATATTTCGCTTATCACAATTTTCGACTTACGGCCCCCACACAAGGGGTTGGTTGACAGCAGTATGTCCTCCAGCCCCTAACCATCACAAGACCTTCTCAGCTTCAGCATCATCTGACTCCAAACTACCGTATGTTTCCGTGTATAAGACGCCCCCATGTATCCCCCACACGAGGGGCTGGTTGACAGCAGTATGTCCTGCAGCCCCAACCATCACGAGACCTTCTCAGCTTCAGCATTGTCTGACTTCAAACCACCTTATGTTTCTGTGTATAAGATGCCCCCCATGTATAAGACCCCCTTTTTTCCTAATCCAAAATTAAGAAATCTAAGTGGGGCTTAGCAAGTGTAGGGGGAAAGGGATCAAAGCACTGCAGGATTGCTTTGATCCCTGCTTTCTCCTCCACTTGTTTTTGTTCTCTCCTCAGAATACTTCTGTGTGTAAGACAACTCTCAATTTTTAGTCTAAAGATTTTAGAAAAAAGTATAGCCTTATACATGGAAAAATACGGTGTATCTCCACCTGGCGGAAGGTGTCTAACAACGAAGAGGAGAGCAATACAATCCTCACTACACAGCTTTCTTCACTCTCTAATTTGCATATTTCCTGGATGCTGTCTGCTGTATTCTTTTTGCCTGGCTGCTTTATAGGGGAGAAATGTGTAAACTGGAGGGTGAGGAGATGATATCTTATCAGGCACTGGGTTTGGCCCAAGGGGTGGCAGATGCTCTCTTCAATCTACAGTGGTGCCCCGCATAGCGATGTTAATCCGTTGTGTTTTCTCTAGCCACTGTTCTTCTCCACACACATCCCACTTTGCTTGCAGAGTAATGTCCGATTTAGACAAAAAGCTACCTGAGGTGCCTTCAGAGTATCTGATTCCAACATACTTTGCCCCATTAAAAAAGATGAAAAAATTTGAAATAATACGAGATTGAAATATTGATTTTTCTGATTGATTGGAATCAATGACCTTGGGAGGTGGTGAGCACTCCAACGCTAGAGCCATTGAAGAGAAAACTGGACCACCGTCTGTCAGATCTGCTTTGATCTATATTCCTGCATCAATCGATGGGTTGGACCCGATGGCCTTCTTAGCCCCTTCCAACTCCATTATTCTATCGTTCTATGATTTTTCTGTCTTACAGGAATGCAAAACTTAGAATGGAAACAAAACTACATACAGTGGACCCTTGACTTACAGACGGCTTGACTTACAGACTTTTTGCGTTACAGACTTCTCTGGTCGCAAAATTTAGGTTTGACTTGCAGACTGAGATTTGACTTACAGACCAGAAAAAAACCAAAATGGAACAAAAACGGCCTGTTA